CTCGGCCATCCCCTCTAGTGGTCATTTTATGGTCAGGATGGCATCAGTAAACTCCTTTGCAGCTAAAATCTCCCCCAAAAGGCAGGGGAGTCTCTTAGTTGGGTCACCAGAAAATGCCTCAGGCCCAGTAAAGAGGAATCTGTCTTCAATTTGACCTCTCAGGTAAAGCCCTCAACTCAAGACCTCATGAATAGTGGTTGCATCTCCTACATACAATTAAAAACCGGGAAGTCAGCTTAAGTGCATGCACAGAATGCCCCATGTTAGATAATAACACCTGTCAATCAAACCTGTCAATCACCCTAGCCCCTCCTGCAAAGACCATCCAGATTTTCCTGCTGTTTGCTCTTACAACTTATAAATGGCCCTTTGAACAAAGATTGGGGCTTCCGTGCTGTCTACCACAAAAGCTCCTTCTTTTGTGGTGCCTAAACTTTTCTTTCCCTTTCAATAAAACTTCACAACTGCCTTGCAATCTGTGTCTTGGTCCAGTTCTTTGTTCTAGAGACACAAGGACCTGAGAGCTCCACCAGGGTCTTCTGAGACCACCATGGTAACAAGACCAGGATGGATTTTGGATTTCTTCTGAAGGTGCAACCAATGGAAGTGGAGTGTTGGAGAAAGAGAAGTAAAAGCATAGTTCCCCAATTTTTGCCATGAGTGACTAGAAGGATTAAATTGCCATTAATTAAAATGGAGAGGGGGGAAGTCCAGAGCTAATTTGGGGTGTGTTACATAAGAGAGGCCTCTTGATCACCCAGGTGTGGACATATAGTAGGCAGCTGGAACTGTAAGGGGATCAATGACAGAGGTGACTCCATTTTGGATGAGAGAGGCACTTTAAAAGCAGACATCTGAAGAGGTGTGGGAAACAATGGGCTTCTCAGAGAAATAACAAGCCTGTCACCAAAATAACCAGATGCAGCTGCCCAATGTGGGCAGTGGGCCCCACCACCAGGATGAGCTCACCAAACCCTCCTGGAATGTCCAGATTTAAGGATGGGGGAGGGACAGCAAGAAAATAACTAGACCGCCAATTATAGATGCAGATTTGTGGTAGGTCAGTCGCACCTAAACTAGTCAATCCCCTATATAATCTCATGAACTTGAGTCATCCTTGGGCTTAGCTTTTGCGCTAAGTCCCACACATCAGGGTGCTTTGCTGTCCTTTTAATAAACTCTTAACTCCTGGTCCAGCCATTGTCTAACCAATATCATATCAGAAATACAAAACTAGCGTTCAGAGGACAGGCTCAGATTGGAGACATAAATTTGTGGCTTTTCCCTCTTTATTTGGTCATTTGTATTAGTTATCTATTGCTTTGCTGTAAAATAAATTCCTTCAAAACTTTTGGGTTTAAGCTGGGTGCCTATGGCTCACGTCTGTAATCCTAGCTACTCAGGAGGCAGAGATCAGGAGGATCACCGTTTGAAACCAGCCAGGGAAAATAGTTCATGAGACCTTATCTCGAAAATATCCAACACAGAACAGGGTTGGTGGAGTGACTCAAGGTGAAGGCCCTGAGTTCAAGCACCAGTCCTGGGGAAAAAAGAAAAAAACTTCTGTTGAATTACCTTACAGTTTCAGTGGGTTAGAAGTTTGTTTTTTTTTATGTAAAGTAGGATTTATTAGAAAGGAAAGGCCACAGCTAGAGAAGTGCAGCGGAGCCTGGAAACTGGTAGCTACAAGTGGGTTAGAAGTTTGAGACGGGCCTGGTTGGGTGGTCTGGCCTTGGGGTCTCCTGTAAGGTTTCAGCTGAGATGTTGATGAGGGCTGTAACATGTTGGCAGTGGAGGACCACTTCCCAGGTGGCTCACATGGTGCTAGCTGATAGGCCTGGGCTCTGCACCATATGTGGCTTGTCTTCAGGGCTGTTTGAGTGGCCTCACAACATGGCACCTGGCAAATGACACCAGAGAGAGCCAGATGGAAGTCTGAAGTCTTTTAGAATCTAACCTTGAAAGTCACTGTCATAGCCACAGTGTCTTCAGGGGCTGTCGTGGGGGCCGGCCAGCACCGTATTTAAAGTCATGATGCTGGGGGAGGTCATCTAGGAAATGGGTGTAGGTAGAGAGCCAAGGCCCGAGCCCTGGGCTCTTCCTCCAAAACCGAGAGGAAAAGAATTCCAATTAAAGGGGCCAAGATGGAACAATCACAAGGGGTTGAAGGACAGCAGGCAAGTATTATCCTAGATGCCAAAAGACCTAGTGTCAAAGGAAGTCAGGGTGATTGGCTCTGACAAATGCTGCCAGGTAGGTGGAGGAGAAGACAGCTCAGTACCTAGAAGAAAGCTGGCCTTCCGAAGAGCAGTCTTTTCTTTTTTTTTTGTGATACTGGGGGCGCTTGAACTAGCTAGGATTATAGGCATGAGCCACTGGCACCCAGCAAGGTCTGTGTTACTTTTTTTTTTTGGTACTGGGGTTTGAACTCGGGGCATTGTGCTTACTAGGCAAGTGCTCTACCACTTGAGCCACGCTCCTAGCTGGACTTCTGAGTTTTATCAGGGGCAGAAAATGGGGCAGTAGCTGGAGGAGCAAGTAGAATTAAGGTTTTTTTTCTTTCTTTCTTTCTTTTTCTTTCTTTCTTTTTATTTTTTTTTTGGTAGTACTCATTTGAACTTAGAGCCTCAAGTTTGCTAAGCAGGTGTTCTACCGCTTAAGCCACACTCCCAGCCCCTTTTTGCTTTTTTAGTTAGTTTTCTGATAGGTCCTCATATTTTTTTGCCCAGAGTCAGCCTTGGACCATGATTCTCCAGTTGAGATTAGGTCTCACTAATTTTGTCAGGGTTGGCCTTAAACCTTAATCTTCCTGGTGTCTACTGAGTAGCTGGGATTATAGGTGTGTGCCTCCACACCCAGCCAAGGTATTTTTTTGAAGAGTGGTACTAACCACCATAAATGGGTGTTAGTGGTAGCTGGAAATGACCTAAGGAAAAAGTGAGCCTGGAGTGCTGGGGCACACTTCTAACCCCAACACTGGGAAGGCTGATGCAGGAGGATTGTGAATTTGAGGCCAGGAGGACCCTATTTCAAAAGAAAAAGTGAGTGGAGAGACCATGTTTGAATGGTGAAGGGGTTGGGCTTCAGTGCTCCATGAGTAGAGGCTGGCCTTGCCAACCATTCAGGCATAATAACAGGAAAGGCCTAGGACATGGGCCAGGACTGGGAGCTGGAGAGGGACCTACCCTCTGGCTGCCTCTAGTCCCAGTGACTGGAGAAACATGGTTAAGAGTGCCGTGGGGAGGTGTCAGACTTGAGAGGAGAGCAGGGGTATCAAATCGTCATCGAGGGGCATGGGAGAGTGAGGGTCCAGCCCAGGTAGTGAGATGACGGCCGGGCGGAATTAAGGGACTGCTGAGGCTGTGCCTACTTTCCAGCTGCAGGCACAGTCAAGGGCAGGGGCGCAGGTGCAGAACCGGTGGAGTTTTGGTGTGGTGGGGAGAGCATTGTTGGGGCTCCAAGGGCTGCAGGCTGGGCCAGGAGGGACAGGAAAGGGTAGAAGAGCAGAGGGGAGGCAGTGGGAAGGGTGACGTTCCCTGGGAGAACTCTTGGGCCAGAGCGGTCACAGGAAGAAGATGGGAAGACAGGTGCTCATACACTTTAGCTACCTAAAGTGATTTCCATCAACACTTACAGTCTAGAAGGTTTAGGGAAGGACCATACTGCCCATCTGGCAAGATGGGGGAAGGGAAGTAGACCAAGGTGCTTATGGCAGTGTAGACACCAACTGACTCCAACAGCCTGGACCAATTTTTTGAGTGTCACCCACACAGACGTTCACACACTCAAATGTCAACCATGTTCACAGCAAAGTCACCCGCTCAGATGTCACACATCTCCAGATGTCCAGGTGTCCTGGCTGACTTCCCATATCCTCTGATTTCTTCTGTGAATGGGTGGAGCTGCTGCCTCAGTATTTTCCTCAGCTGACCTTGGCATAAGGGAGGCTTGTACTCCCTACACCGATGGGCTTCTGATAAGATACAAGGTCACGTTTATCAAAACTGTCTCTCCTTCTGGACTTTGCTTCCCCAGGGCCTGGCATGGACCTGGTATGGAGTTGAGCGAGTGAATGTGTATAAGTGAAGGGAATGCATAAAAAGTGGACAGGTGGAGGGATGGACAGAAGGGAGAGTGAATGGATGGGGATGGAGGAGAAAGTCACCCTGCTGAGGAGGTATGGGCTTCGTGATATATCTTCTCCAAGAGCCTCATCTCCTGCCATAAGCAGGGACCCTTAAGGATAGCAACAAGACATTCTACTAGGGTCCCCTTCTTCCTTTAGCTCCAGGCTTTATATTCTAGGAAGGGGAGGGAGGAGTGGCTGCAATTTACTGAGCCTCCACTGAACACCAGATGCTAGCTATTTCTACAGATTCCATCTTGCTTAATGAGGACAGCACCACAGTAACTTTGTTTTCTTTTTCTGGTGGTACTCAAGGCTAGGCAGGCACTCGTCACAACACCAGAGCTTTGTGAAGTAGATCCTCTACCATCCCCATTTTACAGCTAGGAAAACAAGCTCAGAGAAGCTAAGTGAATTGTGCAAGGTCACATAGCTTCTGTCTAGCAAGATAAAATTTGAATTCAAAGTCTGTTCAAGCAGATAGGGTTCGCTGTGCCAGAGACAGAGCGACACTAAGGAAGACACAGGTGGTGACGTCGGGCAGTCAACAGGGCCCTGCACTAGACACAGGAGCTCTGAGTCCTAGGCTTGGTATGGTGTCTGTCGTAAGGGGAAACCCTGGGTGAGACTGTTCCCTTTCTGGATCTCGATGTTTCTGCGTTGTCTTGGTGCCCTAAGAGGTCATTTCCAGGTGAACCATGCAGAATGGGGTCCATGTGACAACTCCTCGCCCTCACTTCAGGATGTCCCCTCACTTTCCTGCTACTGGGGGCAAAAGGGCAGCACTACCCATGTGGTAATGGTTAACCAGGCCTGACACCCCATCTATAAGGAAGCCCAACCAGGGCTGCCCTGCTGGCTGAGTCTCCACGCCATGCAGTGGGCAAAGGTACTAGGGCTGGTGGTGGGCGCTGCTGCCCTGTTGGGGCTGGGGATCATCCTGGGCCACTTTGCCATACCCAAAGCCCCCAGCACCTCAACTCCCCAGGACCTGGACCTGGAGATCCTTGAGACTGTCATGGGACAGCTGGATGCCAGCAAGATCCGGGAGAACCTTCGGTGAGAGGCGGGTCTGCCGGTGCCCCCTGTTGGCCAAAGGCCCTCCCTGACATGGGTCCTGTCCCCTCCTGTCCACCCTGCAGGGAACTCTCCAAGGAGCCGCACCTGGCCTCCACTCCCCGGGACGAGGAACTGGTGCAGCTGCTGCTGCAGCGCTGGAGGGACCCAGAGTCAGGCCTAGACTCGGCCGTGACCTCTACGTATGAGGTGCTGCTGTCTTTCCCCAGCCAGGAGCAGCCCAACCTCGTGGAAGTTGGTAAGGTCCTGCCCAATCAGGGCAAGCCTGGAGGTGGTGGGGGTCCTGCTGGGTCCAGCCCTGGCTCTGCCTCCCTCCTCAGTGAACTCCGATGGGAACATCCTCTACTCCTTCCAACCGGGTGAGGAGAACGTGACCGGAGAGCAGACAGGGCCCGATGTGGTGCAGCCCTACGCTGCCTATGGTCCTCCTGGAACCCCGCAGGTGGGCTTGGAAACCCCCTCCCCCTGCTCCTCCTGGCTCCAGCCCAGGCTTCTCCCCACTCTGACCCAGGGGCATCTTAAGTGGGGCTCAGCACCCCCCTTCACTGAATTTCCACACTCCCTTGCTATTCATTTCCTCCCTTTGCTAGTCATTCAATAAACTCTAGTGGCCCTTGTTCAAGGTCAGACCAGTTACAGGGTACTTACATCTCTGGGTGAGTTGGAGAAACCAAATCTAAATCCTTCCTCCTGCTACCCAGCCTTCCTATCCCTTCCCCCATTGCCTTTGGCTACACCCAGCTCCAAGGATCTCCCCCTTCTTGGGACTAGGGTCTCCTTGTCTACGCCAATCAAGGCACAGAAGAAGACTTCAAGTTGCTGCAGTCACAGGGCGTCAACCTCACAGGCACCATCGCTCTGACTCGCTATGGGGGTGCTGGGCGCAGGGCCAAGGTGAGGAGCCCCCATCTAGGGGCCTGGGTGGGAGAAGGGCCAGCTGTGGACAGGAAGAAATGAGGGAGGGAAAGGCAGCCAGTGTCTAGTGGTGAGCCAAGCCACAGGCTTGGGACAGATCAGGTCAGCTGTGATCTGTGTTCCTATGAGAACTTTACCCCACAGATGGGCTGTGTGCCCTCAGGTGCCTCCCATAACCTCTCTGAGCCTGAGGAAGTAAAGGGATGGGGAAACCTTTCAGCTTTGGGATTCCGGAACTCCAAGCCTTCCTGAAATATTTCTTTTTATTTTTAAAAAGTTTTCTTTCTTTCTTTCTTTCTTTTTTGTTTTCTGAAATAGTTCTTAATATTCAAAATAAATTCTTTGTGTTGCCCCCATGTGCCTTCCTTTTCCTTTCCTTTTTCTCCCTCCCTCCCTTCCTGCCTTCTTTGTTCTTGTGTGTGTGTGTGTGCTAGGAATTGAACTCAGAGCCTCACGCATAAGCACATGCTCTGCCACTGAGCTGTAGCCTCAGCCCCTGCCATTTTCTTTTCTTTTTTTTTTTTTTTTTTGGTACTGGAGTTTGAACTCAGGGCCTACACCTTGAGCCACTCCACCAGCCCTTTTTTGTGTTGGTTTTGTTCAAGATAGGGTCTCGAGAACTATTTACCGGGCTGGCTTTGAACCCTGATCCTCTTGATCTCTGCTTCCTGGACAAGCTAGGATTATAGGCGTGAGCCACTGGTACCTGGCTACATTCCATTTGCTTGCAATAAAAAATTTTCCAGGCTGGGGGTGTGACTCAAGTAATAGAACTCCTGCCTAGCAAGTGCAAGACCCTAGTGTTATATGTCTATGGTTTAAAAATTTAAAAAAATAAATATAAGAAGGTTCAGAATGAGAGGGAGAATGGGGAGTTAGTGTTCAATGGGACGGTTTCAGATATGCAAGATGACAAGTGTCCCATGGATGGAGGGTGGTGACAATTGCCCAAAAATGTGAATATATTTAATGACACAGAACCAGACACTTGAGATTGTAAGATAGTAGATTTTCTGTTATGTATATTTTATCAGTGTTTTCTTTTTGTTTTTTTTTTTTGTTTGGAAAGTGCCTGTGATAAAAGCTAAGGATAAAAGGAGAAGAGAAGAGCAGGGAGGGAAGAAGAGGGGAAAAAGAAGGAAAAAAATCAGGGAGGGAAGACAAAAAGAAAAATATGGGTAAAAGGAAAAAAGAAGAACAATCATAGTGGAAATAAGATTATAAAATTTCCAGTTTTAAGGGCCAGGCATGGTGGCTCATGCCTGTAATCCCAGCTACCTGGAAGACTTAGGTAAGAAGATTGAAGTCTGAGGCCAACCCTGGGCAATGGCTGGAGACCCTGTCTGAAAGATAACTAAAGCAAAAATGGCTGACAGAGTGGCTCAAGCAGTAGAGTGCCTGCCTAGCAAATGTGAGATCCTGTGTTTAAACCCCAGTACTACCAAAAACATAAAGAGTAAGAAAAATTCCAGTTCTAAAAAGAGAGGGTATTGATTGAAAAAGTTCTCCTCTGGCATCAACCTCCAAACACCTAACCACTCTCCCCACTTAGCTTATAAACCCATCCAGGGTTTTCTTTCAAAAGAAGCATATGTAACACATATTCTTATGCCTCCGAGCCCCACAGAGGCTTTTTCACATAAAAGCAGCCCACTGTTTCCAGCTGGGCTTTTTTCACATCCTGGAAATCAGTGCACAAACTGCTCAGCCTCCAGGGGGCTGGGACTCCAGGTGTGTGGCACCGTGTATGAATCTTTTTTCTTTGTTTTAAGGGCATTGTTTTGTTTTTACTATAATAAAATATGCATGTCATAAAAGTTATCATGTTTACCATTTTGTTTTGTTTGGTTTTGATGTAGTGCTAGGGATCAAACTCAGGACCTTGCTCATGCTAGGCAAGCACTCTCCACTAAGCTGCACCCCCAGCCCAGTTACCTCAACTCTCCTTCCTGACCCTGTAATTCACGTGTGTTCTAAATACCTCCTAAAGTGGAATCACAGCATGTTTGCCTTCTGTGTCTGGTTTATTTCACATAGCCACATGTCACATGTCTTTATGGTTCATTGAAGTGTGTTGGAACTTTATTCCTTTTTAAGGCAGCACAATATTCCATTGTGTGTATATACTACTTTTCATCCATTAATGAATACATGGGTTATTTTCACCTTTTGGCTATTGAGAATAATGCTCCTATGAACATGTGTGTGCCTGTATAACATGTTCTTTTATATAGCTGCATAGCATTCCATCTCCTTTTATTTAATCAGACCCCCTGATAGGCATTGGCTTGGTTATGTCCAACAGTCTTTTGTGGTCAAAGATATTACTGCCATAAAAGTCTTGTGCAAACATTATCTCACCCATGGGAAGATAGAGCAATTCTAGCTTCCATCTGGAGGGGGGTGAAGAGGAAGAAGACATGGTTGTCCCATCCCTGCCTGACACATAGCTTCCTCCGTCTCCCGCAGGCTGTGAATGCGGCCAAGCATGGGGTTGTTGGGGTGCTGGTATACACGGACCCTGGTGACATCAACGACGGGCGGAGCTTGCCCAATGAGACCTTCCCGAACTCCTGGGGCCTGCCTCCCTCGGGAGTGGAGCGAGGCTCCTTCTTTAAGTATTTTGGGGATCCTCTCACCCCCTACCTTCCAGCTTTCCACTCTTCATTCCGCCTAGACCTTAACAACATCTCTGGAACTCCCCCAATTCCTGCCCAGCCCATTGGCTTCCAGGATGCCAAGGACCTGCTCTGGTGAGCCAATGCCTGGGTCCCCTGCCCATTGGGCTGGCCTGCAAAGGCCAACACCAACCCATATGCACTGAAGGGCCTCCTTTTCTTCCCCAGTAACCTCGGTGGTGCCTCTGCCCCAGTTACCTGGCAGGGGGCGCTGGGCTGTGTGTACAAACTGGGACCTGGCTTCCTGTCGGATGGAAACTTCCCAGAAGACAGGTGAGCTGGATCTCCTGCCCCTCTCTCTCCCCTTCCCCAATTCTCCCTTTTGCTTCCCTGGGTTTTCCCTCTTCCCACCTCAAGGACTGGCCTTCTTCTTCCTTCTCTCTCTCAGTCCCTCTCTGGCCCCAAAAAATCTGTGTCCTCTTTGGGGGAAGTCCAAGATCACCTGGGGTATCCCCTATTCCTCTGTCCCTCTCTACTCTCCAGTCATTATTTCCCTTGAACTTGCCAAGATGGGTCCCAAGTCAAGGCTTCATTCACTCCTGGCTGGTGTTAGCCTCCCCACCAGCAGCACCCCTGGCCACCAGGTGTCTCCTCCTCTCAGGCCCTGTTCACTTCCTTGTGGTCTGTTTTGGTAAGGAGATAGAAGCCCCTGGAGAGAGCTGGTCCTGTCTGTGTCTCAGTCATTGTGCAGACTTAGTAAGATGTCCCCAAGAAGTACTTAATAGGGACCAACAAGGGAAAGAGGTCTTAGATTACAAGGGCTGGGCTCTAGCCTTCCCCCTGCCTTTCTTGGTCCTTCTGGGCAAGTTACCTGATCTTGACCCCTTCCCTCTCTGGGCCTGTTTCTCCTGCATTGGGTAGGAGATAATGGACAGAGACAAGCCTCTTGTCATACCCATCGCCTCCCTAGCCAGGTAAAAGTGAGTATCTACAATCACCTGGAGCTGAGGAACTCCTCTAACGTCCTGGGGATCATCCGCGGGGCTGTGGAGCCTGGTGAGTCCCTTTGCACTGGGACTTGTCCCTGCCCTCCCTCCGCAGCCTCCTCAGGCCCTGCCCTGACCACAGCCAGCCTGGCACACCTTGTCCTCCAATCACTTGACTGTTCCTCTTGCCAGACCGCTATGTGCTCTATGGGAACCACCGAGACAGCTGGATCCATGGAGCTGTGGACCCCAGCAGTGGCACTGCTGTCCTCCTGGAAATTTCCCGCGTCCTAGGGACCCTGCTGAAGAAGGGTGAGGTCCCTCTGCTGGTCCAGGGTCTCTGTCTCCTCCTTCCTGAGCTCAGGACACCCTGTTCCACCCCCTCTCCCTCATTCCCAAGGGCCCACCTGGGCTAGGCCCAAGGGTACTGGAAACAGACTCAGGGAAGGAGTCTGGCCCAGCTAAGGAGGCTGAGCAGGCAAGTATAGCCACAGAGCAACGCAGCCCCACTGGGGAGTTTGGAGTTTGCTCATGGGAAGCTGGGGGATTGTTCTCATCCAGACAGCAGCAGGATGGAGAGGCGGGGCGGCTCGTGTGACAGGACCAGTTAGGGGTCTTGTTACCCTTCTCTTCAGGCCTTGGAGTTACTGGAGGTCTTGGGCCAGGATGGGGAGGGAAGAGGCTGCTGGTCTGAGCTCTGTGGGCTACTGAGGGGAGGAAGAGGATGATGAGAGGGCTCTGGTCTGAGCAGAATGGGGCCAGAGGGCAGACCTGGGGAAGAAGGGAATTCAGAGGGGAGCAGGTGGCTCACATCTGTAATCCTAGAACTCAGGAGGCAAAGAACAGGAGGACTGCAGTTTGAAGCCAATCCCAGCAAAGAGCTCTTGAAAACAAACCCATCTCAAAAGAACCCATCACAGAAAAGGGCTGGTGGAGTGTCTCAAAGTGTAGATCCTGAATTCAAACCCCAGTATTGGCAAAAAAAAAAAAGAAGGAAATTCACTACATATTGATTCCTTTTTTCTTTTTTTAGCTTTTAAATTATGGCAAGCTGGGCACCATTGACTCACGCCTGTAATCTTAGCTACTCAGGAGGCAGGGATCAGGAGGACCGAGGTTTGAAGCCAGCCCAGGCAAATAATTCATGAGACACTATCTTGAAAAACCCTTCACAAAAATAGGACTGGTGGAGTGGCTCAAGGTGAAGGCCCTGGATTCAAACTCCAGCACCACAAAAAAAAAAAAAATTGTGGCAAAATATGCATAACAACAGCATTTACCGGGTTTGCAATTTAAATTTTTATTTTATATTTCATTTATTTATTTTTGTGGTACTGGGCTTGAACTTAGGGCCTACTCCTTGAGCCACTCCACCAGCTCTTTTTTGTGAGTGGTTTTTTCCAGATAGGGTCTCGTGAACTATTCAGCCTACAGTCCTGATCTCTGCATCCTGAGTAGCTAGGATTACTAGCTGGGAGCCACTGGCTCCCAGTCTTGCAATTTATTTATTTTTATTTATGTATTTATTTATGTTTGCAGTACTGGGGCTTGAACTTAGGGCCTTCACCTTGAGACACTCCACCAGCCCTCCCCCCCGACACGCCTTTTTTTGTGAAGGATTTTTTGAGATAGGCTCTCACCAACTATTTCCCTCTTTCTGATCTCTGCCTCCTGAGTAGTTAGGATGACAGGCATGAGCCACAGGCACCCGGCTGCAATTTAAAATTTTATGTGTTCAATCCAGTGGCATTAAGTATATTTAGGGTGCTGGGCAACCATTTCTACCACCCACGCTACAAATTTTCCTTTTTCATTTGGCTTTATTGGTGTTTGAACACAGAGTCTGGAGCTTGTTAGGCAAGACACTCTACCACTTGAGCCACTCTGATCGCAATAACGATCCGTAAGGCAAAAGGATTTTCTGGTATGATCGACTTCCGAATCGAGCGATTCAGAATCTATATCCGAGTGACATAGCGCGTGTGTCATTTGGCAAATTTCATCTGTAAAAGTTCTTTAGCTGTCCTTTGTCTTTCATGATCCTGACATTATTTTGTCACATGTCAGTCAATTTAGTTTGTCCCATCAGTTTCAGATTTGCTTTTCTGGCAGGATAAAGTGTGGGGACTTGTAATTGCAGGCATGATGGAGGTGGGACATTCTGGCAGAAAAGACCACCTGACCAAGAGGGACTGGTGTTGGGGTGGGTTGTCACAGAGAGGACAGATCCTCTAGAAGGCCAGGTCCTCCTGTCACAGGCTGCCTCGCCTTTTGTAGCTCTTCCCTCCTTCCCATGTCCCCAACCTTTCCCCTAAGCCTCCCCAGGGTCCCGGGGACCCTGTCCTCAACCCTTCATGCCCCTCCGCAGGCACTTGGCGGCCCCGCAGGTCGATCGTGTTTGCCAGCTGGGGGGCAGAGGAATTTGGGCTCATTGGCTCCACGGAATTCACAGAGGTGAGTGAGCCCCACAGGGCTGCGGATGGAAAGGAGCTTCCGGGGCGCGGCAGCGCTGAACTGAGGTCGCCTCGCCCCTGCAGGAGTTCTTCAGCACGCTGCAGGAGCGCGCGGTGGCCTACATCAACGTGGACATCTCGGTGTTTGGTATGGGGCGGGGCTGGCAGGCGCGGGGCTGACCGGCGTGGGTGGGGGTAAAGGAAGGGGCCAGGGTCCGAAGAGTCCTCTCTCGGTCTCTCCCACAGCCAACGCTACCCTTCGGGCGCAGGGGACGCCCCCTGTACAGAGTGTCATCTTCTCCGCCACCAAAAAGGTTCAGGGAAGGGGAGGGGCTATGGGTGGGCGGGGCTACGAGGGTGGGCGGGGCCGGGGCGAGTGGTGGGAGAACCAGAGGTCTGGAGAGTGGGTATAGAGGCTGAGCAGGAGCCAGCCCCAGACTGGAGTCCCCTCTGTGCCAGATTGATGCACCAGGTCGCAGTGGCCTCAGTATCTACGACAACTGGATCCAGTACTTCAACCGCAGCAGTCCAGTGTACGGCCTGATCCCCAGGTGAGCCCAGGGACCAGGCAAGGGGACCTGATGCGCAGAGGGCTGAAGCAGGGTCCCCTAGCATGGCCCTTTCCCTTCCTGCAGCCTAGGTTCTCTGGGTGCCGGCAGCGACTACGCCCCCTTCATTCACTTCCTGGGCATCTCCTCCATGGACCTCGCCTACACCTATGACCAGGTGAGCAGGCACCCCGAGCTCCCTCATCCACCCCCCCCCGCCACGCCCACCTCCGTACTGCGCTCCACCAGCCCCTCCAATCCTGCGGGCTGCTCTAGTGTGGCCTGAATCCGGCTGTGCATCCTAGATCAAGTTTCTTATCCTCTCTGAGCATGCTTACTTTATCAAATATAAAATATTGATTGTAAGTTGCACCCCCATATTATCCATCATTCAGGAAGGAGAGGAAAAAAACACTGCCCATCGGTTTATAGGATGATGTTGACTGGAAGAAGCATTGAGATCTTAAAATGTAGACAGGGGAAATTTATCTCAGCATTGACTAAATAGATTCACAGTGTTGGTGTGAGGGTGCAAGGAGCGCTGTGGAGTGTGTAGCCTGCCCTCCGTGGTTGATGCTCCAAAACCCTTTCCTTGTGGCTTCATGGCCACCATGCTTCTGGGGATGCAGCTGGGATTCAGTCCCCGGGATCTGCCTCCAAAGCCCTAGGCTCCTCCTTCCTGTGAGACTGGAAACCAGAACCAGCTTTGCCTCTTATTAGCTGGGTGATGCCTCAGTTTCCTCCTCTGTAAAGTGGAAATTCTAGAATCCACCTCATGGATGTGCAGAGGACTCAGAGACAATGCCCACACAGCGTGGCTCATTGGAGCTACACCTCCTTCCCACCCCACGCCCAATCCTTCTGCACCTTTTTCCCCAGAGCAAGACCTCAGCCCGGATCTACCCCACTTACCACACGGCCTTTGACACCTTTTCTTATGTGGACAAGTTTGTGGACCCTGGTAAGGAGGGGGTAGGGGGCATTCCAAGACTGACAGGAAGAGGATGGGCTTAAGACCCAGCCCTGGCCTCCCTGCAGGTTTCAGCAGCCACCAAGCAGTGGCCCGGACAGCAGGGAGTGTGCTTCTTCGACTCAGTGACAGCTTTTTCCTGCCACTCAACATCAGTGACTACAGTGAGACCCTCCGAAGCTTCCTGCAAATGGCCGAGCAGGGTCTAAGGGCCCAGTTGGAGGAGCACAACATCAGGCTGGGTATGGATAGCCCCTGACATTGAGGCCCTGGGAGCCCTGCACTCCCAGGACTAAGCCACCAGATGTCCCCCACAGGGCCTCTGGTGACTGCAGTGGAGAAGTTTGAGACAGCAGCTACAGCCTTGAACCAATACATATCAACACTGCAGAATGGCAACCCTGAGTGAGGATTGTGGGCAGGTGTGGGGAGGGCAGGGTACATCCAGGGAAGGATGTCAAGCTGGCAGTGGGACTGCTGGCTGCAGACTGACAGGTCCTGCCTCCTCCAGCCCGCTGCAGGTCCGGGCAGTCAATGACCAGCTGATGCTATTGGAACGGGTGTTCCTGAACCCACGGGCCTTCCCAGAGGAGCGATACTACAGGTGAGCCTGTCCCAAAGCCCTGGGAGGTGCCTCAGGTTGGGCTGGGCAATGAGGCAGAAGTCAATTTCACTGCTTCAGAGTACAACCCAGCCCAAGACAGTGAGGGAACATGAGGGTCACCCCCCACCTCTCCCTTCAGAGACAGGGGCAGGTAGGGGCTTTTGTGTCTGCACAACAGCTGATGTCCAGGCCTAGCCCTGCACTGACTCTCATCCTGCTCCATTTCTTGTCAGCCACGTGCTCTGGGCACCCCGCACCGGCACTGTTGCCACGTTCCCAGGCCTGGCCAATGCCTACTCCAAGGCACAGGACACAAGCCCCGGGTCTGAAGCTTGGGCTGAGGTGCACAGGCAGCTCAGCATTGTGGTGATGGCTGTGGAAGGTGCAGCGGCAACCCTGAGGCCTGTGGCTGACCTCTGACCCCAGCCCTGACTTCAACTCTCCATTCATTCCACCCCTCCCCTACCTGTTTCTCTGAGGTGTGTCCAGCCTTCCCTGAGGCCAGGAGGCACACAACCAGGGGACTCTTTCAAGCTTCTGAGGCTCCAATGGGGGGTCCTGCCAATTATAGACACCTGAGGGCAATGGTATTCTCTGCTTATGGGTTCTTGGTTGGCAGAGTGGGCTATGGGGGGGGGAATACTACCAACTGCTTGTAGTAGTGGGTGGGCAAGGATGAGATGCATAAACCTTAGAGACCACCAAGGCCACCCCTTAGGGACCAGAGAGGAAAAGAGGCCCAGAAAGGATAGGGCCCAGTGCAGTCACTCCCCTCCCCATGCTCTTAGTGTCTCATCTTCCCTTCCCACCCCCCCACCCCCAAATAAATGAAATTCAGCAATCTTATAAAACAAATTTCTTTTATTGTCTGGGAATCAGGAAATAGAAACCTAAGGGAAGACTGCACCCCCTCATGCTGGGGCCCCGGGTCTGTGCACACCCTCATCTTCCTCCTCTGCCATGACCACCTCCTCCAGGGTGCGTCCTCTTAGTTTGTTTCCCAACAACACGGTGCAGGTACCGGCGGGGGGTGGCCCTTCCTCAGCATAGCGACCCCTCAGAAACACAACTCTTTCTTCTCCATCCAAGGGCAGCCCATGGGCCTGGCACAGGTCCCGGGCTTCGTGGGCTCCATCCAGGGCCAGCAGGTGGACCATGAAGCCCAGAGGCAAGGTCTGCCCCTTGGGGGTGCTCAGGGCACGAGCGAGGCGAGCCAGGGCTTCGCGGCGGGCACGGCCTACGTGGCCCTGCACGGCGCAGCTCTGAAGGTAGGACAGGGTCCGCAGCAGCCGGAACAGGCGGGCGGCGTTGCCCTCACGGAAGGCAGCGTCAACTGCCAGGGCTACGCGCAGGGGCGGGCAGGCGCGCAGGGCGGCGGGCAACTGCAGAACCTCGTGCAGAGCCTCCACGGAGCCTGCGAGGGGGAAGCCGGGATGAGGATGTCCTGGGACCCCGCCCGCCTCACTTCGCATCCCTTTGCCCCCGCCCCGCTCATCTCTGCTCCCATAGGCTGCAGCCCACAGCTACTAACACCTCCTCTGGCCCTATGACAGGTTCATCTCCTGCCCGTGGTCCCGCCCAACCGCCCACTCTGACCACGCCCATCCACGATGGCCACGCCCCTTCACTAGGACTAACCAGGTTCCCACCATCAGGCCCTTTCAAGACCTGTATCTTTTTTTCTTTTCTTTTTCTTTCTTTTTTTTTTTTTTTTTTTTTTGCGGTATTGGGGCCCGAACTCAGGGCTTTCACCTTGAGCCACTCCACCAGCCCTATTTTTGTAAAGGTTTTTTTTGAGATAGGTCTCGCGGAAATTTTTGTCCGCGTTAGCTTCGAACCAAGATCCTACTGAGTAGTTACAGTAGATTACAGGTGTGAGCCACCGGCGCTCGGCCAAGACCTACATCTTTATGAGGTGCCACAGATCCCCTTTAGTCTAGATCCTTCTAACACGGAAGCGGACTTCGTTTAACTGATGGGAGACACAGGTCTGGATATTTAAGGACTTGCCTGAGGCTGTTCTAGAGCTCTTATGTAGTACTGCCTGACCCAAATCCAAGTTTTCAGATTTGGGTGTCCCGCTGTCCTGGCTGCCCGTACCCACAATTTTGGGAGGCGGATCTGTCACACCTTCCTCTGGTCACCTGGGAAGGCCATTCTTCAGGAGACTCCACTCCTCTTCCCTTCCAAGAAGTTACAGACACTGGAGTCTTGGGCCACTTCGTAAAACTGACCCATTAGTGAGTTACGAAGTCAACAGCATTTTATTAAATAGAGAGGGACCTAAAGTCTTGGAACATTTTTTTTTTTCAGTACTGGGTAATGAACCCAGGTGCCGGAGCATGCTAGGCAAGGGCTCTACCACTTGAGCTATGCCCTCATCCCTTTTGTATTTGTTTTGGGGATAGGATCTCGAAAACTGGCCATCCTCCAGCCTCCACCTCTAGAATAGCGGAGATTACGGGCTTGAGCCACGTCACGCCTGACTCTAAAGTCTTCAAACTTCTGTGTCTGATATGTTTGTGGCTATTTATTATACGTTCGTGTTACTTTGCACCAGTGACTGGGAATGGGAGTTTTAAAAAAATTTGAAAGTCACTATCTAGGCCAACTCTTTCCAATCCCACCCCCTCCACTTTTGTTATTGAGAAAACTGAGCCCAGAAATGGGAAAGGGCAGTCTCAAGGTCCCATAACCGGAATCGGGTGGGTCTGGTGCATTGACTTTCCTGGACGGTTTTCTATTTCGTGGCTGGGGATGCAACCAGGGGCTTAGCGCATACTAAACACTTGCTCTACCGCTAGGCCACACCCTCAGCCCCTAACGGTGAGAAAGCTCCTTCTTTCCTTTTCCTCCACCGTACCCATTAGGGCTCCCCGCCGCGACCCCGACTCACCCAGGTTATAGAGCAGAAAGAGGCCCTGGAAGGTAGCCTGGCGAGGGTGCGGCCCTGCGCTCCGCGCGTAGCAACGCCGGAGGGAGCCGAAGCCCTCCTGCACCTGGGTCTGCAACAGCACCGGGTCCGCGGGCCCGCACGCCTCTTCCGGCCCCAGCCGCGCTACCACGGCCAGCAGCGTGGCCAGCGCGGCCTCCAGCACCACCGCCGCCTGGGCGTCACCCGCGCTCTGCAGGGCCAGATCCAAACGCACAGCGCGCAAGCGATCAGCCACGAAGCCGGCCACCTCCGCGCGGGATGCGTCAGCACTGTCGGCCACCTCGCCCGCCAGGTAGCGCACGGTGGACAGCAGCACCGAGGGCGGACGCAGCTGGCTCGGCGGAGGCCGGGACTTGCCAGCAGCCGGTCGGCAGTACTCCTTCACTGCACGCTGAGGATCGGCGCGGGGCGGGTCCCAGCGGCACCCCGGTGCCACCTCGAAGCGGTGCAGGCGGCGTTCCCTTTCACGCTGGGCGCGCTCGGCGGCCGGGCACATATCAGGGCACATGCCCACGGGCAGCTCATAGCCGGACATGTGTGGGCTACGGGGAAAGGGTGGGCGTTCAGCATCGCTGGGACGCCTGCGGCCCGCGGTTGCATTTTGCGGGAAGTCACACCGAAGCCGGCGGAGACTAGGGAGAGACAGGGCGGGGCCAAGCTGGGCTGGGCCCACCTCCTCGCCCGGTCTCCAGTGTTCCCGCCGCCCGTCCGGCAGCCGCCGCTTTCTCACCGCGTCCCGTTGAGCCGGCCTCCCGAGATGCACTGCGTTGTAGTCCGACGTTGCCAGCACGGATCCTCACACTCAGGCTCCGCCTAGTTCTCCCATAATGCTTCACACTCAGCCGCACCAGCACCGCCCCCTCCACGAACTAAAATTGTAGTTCGGTCACTCCCATGATGCACCGGTTTGTAGTCCTTTCTGCAACCAATCGCTGGTCTGAGGGGCGTGGCACCGGCGAGGCCACACCTCCCTTCTGGGCTTTAGCAGTCTGAACCATCACTGTTACCCTTTTCACCCAATTAGCTGACTCTGACAGCTCTATTCTGTCATTCTCTATTGTTTCCCTGTAGATATTCTCCCCATTTTCTAGATCGGGGTCAGCAAAGAGTCAGGTAGAAAATGTCCTATGATTTGCCGGACACAACTAAACTCCGCTGGTGCTGAGTGAATATAGCCACAGGCAATATTAAGTGAATGAGCCTGGTCGTGTTCTGATAAATTTTTATTCATAAACACTTAAATTTCATAATTTCCACTTGTCACAGAATCTTGTTCTTTTGATTTTTCTTTCTAGTCATTAAAAAATGTAAAAAAAAGAAAAAAGGCTATGGGCCTGATCTGGCTGCAATCTGCAGTTAACAGACCCTGGTTCCAGATGGGTAAACTGATAGTTTAGTGACCAGATCTGCTGACAGATTAAGATCAGACAGGCAGGATCACAAGTGTGAGTCTGATTCACAGGAGGCAGGCAGGGAGTGAAAAGTCATTATTTTCTTCATCCTTGGTCCAGTTTCATACAGATATGGCCCCTGAGGCTACAAGACCAGGAGACAGGGCCAGACTCTGGGGAAAGGAGAGGGAGGCTGGCAGTGTGGGAGCTGGTATCCCAAGAAGGGCCCACTCCCTCAGGGCGGTATCTGGGTCAGGTGCCCTTGCAGGATCTCCTCTGCCCGTTTCAAGTACTCAGCAGCCTTCCTCTTCACACCTTCCCGCCGGGCGGGCGACGGGTCACCTGTGGAGAAAGGGTGGCCCCTGCTCTAGTCCCCTACAGTTCACAGAGCATCATAATGTGCTTATCGTCGTGTCTCTCCTCTCCCTTTTATAATTACAAAAACTGATGCTATAAGAGGTCAGAAAAAATCCTGCCCACGGATACACAGATGGTCAGTGAGGAGCAAGGGCTCCTGATCGTTTAATTGCTTGTTTTCCACTTTCCCTTCCCTGCTGTACCATCCGGGACCTTGCACCTGAACCTCCGCCCTCCACTCCCTGCTCACCGGGTACTCCCTGGAGCAGGACATGAACGCCATCTCGGTAGCCCTGGAGTGCCGCAGGGTAGGCGCCTGCCTTCTCATCCTGCAGGGCCTGGGTGATGAGCTCTGTGGCTTGGCTCAGATAAGCAGGGGTGGGCCCTTCGTCCTCGTCCTCTTCCTCCTCCTGCCCTCCTGGCTCCCAGGGTTCCTGGTCTAGCCTTTTGGACTCTACCTGCATGGCTGCCAGCTCACCTACATGGGTGGGGCTGGGACCCGCACCTTCTGCAACAGATAGGGAGGACTCAGGCCCGACTGACCTTTTCTTTCCCAGGGCCCACTGCCCACCCCCAGGCCTCTCCTGCCCATTGGGATACCAATCTGTTCCCAGAGGAGGGGAGTAGAGCCTGGACAATCCAGAAGTCATTTGAGTATAGGAAACCAGATATGTCTGTCTGGTTGGTGGGGTTCATGTGCTTTTGTAAAAGTCTTACCTTCCTAATTCTCTCTTTAGGTACACGTAACTTTAGTAAATCCCTGGGTCACAGGTCCTATTTCCCTCCTGACTCCAGTTGATCTAGAAACCCAAGATTTCCCTCCACAAAGTTCCATTGAGGGATGCTACAGCAACTATGTAGGCCAAGGGCAGAAATGCTCCAAGCCTTGGAATAATCTCAGAATGGATTCAGAAGATCTCAGGGCTTTTCAGGGTGAGGAGGGCAGTGCTGGAGATCAAACCTAGAGCCTTGTGCACGCAGGGCGAGCTCTCTACCACTGAGCTATACCCCAAGTTGACTAGAAACTCGGTGAGTCTTTTGTGAAGAGGCCTTGGTCAGGAAGGCAGAGGAGCATGGAGCACTGTGACACCAGTCCTAGAGAGAGAAGGGGTGGCATCACATCCAACTGGGGAGTCCCGTGAGGCCCCATGCGGAGGCTGAGACCTCCTGTGAGAAGGTAGACACCTTTCTCCCAGCTGGGCCTTCAGCCCTCCCTGTGTTGCACAAAGAGCAGAGAGCAGAAAAAATTGGTGGGGCTCCCAAGTACTTGAGTTCAAGGGCCTAGAGTAAGTGATAAAGAGAGACAGTTGCTGGCTGCTGGACTGCAGGAGCTGATGAAGGCTGGCATAGCACAGCAGGGAGATGGGGCAGCTTCTGGGCACACTGTACTGTCAGCAGCTGGGCAACAAGGACTGGGGAGTTTTCTCATGCGCCAAGTGAATGTCTCATGGGCACTGCCCACAAGGGGGCTGGAACAACTCTTCCCAAATACTGTCCACTAGGTGCCTGTCAGTCACTCAGAGTTTGGATATAACAGCCCTGATGACACCTCTACCTTCTTTACTCTCTCCAGCCCTAGAGGGGCGGGGCAGGGAAGGGAGGAAGGAGAACAAGAAAAGCAGCAGGGCACAGCGGTGCATGTCTGTGGTCTCGGCACTGGGGAGGATCGCTTGAGCCCACAAGTTCAAGACCAGCTTGAGCAAAACAGTGCGATCCTGTCTCAGAATAAAAGAAGAGAAGGGAGAAGAGATAAAAACAAGGATATTCCTCACACCCTCACCGCCATGGCCAGGAGCTGCTCAAGGCTGAAAACTAGATGGAGGGCTGGAAATGTGGTTCAGGTGTTAAGAGTACCTGCCTAGCAAGCATGAGGTCCTGAGTTCGAACCCCAGTACTGCCAAAACAAATCGGACACAAGAGGTTCTGATTCGGACTGGCCTAGGCTTTTCCATCACTGAGGGAGAGACCTCAGGTGCCTGGAGTTGATCAGAAAGCCAAGGAGGTCACCAAAGGGCAAAAAAGAGAAGCCAACAAAATGGGCTTAAAAACATTTCTGGGGAATCAGAAAAGGAACTGTTCCCTGATTATGGAGAAGTGACATCAGTCACTTTTAACACCTCCAGTGCATAACCTTGGTGCACTTCAGAATCCAGTTCTCCTTCCTGGGGGACTGTTAGGTCTCTGGTTTCAGAGCAGGAAGGCACTTGGGACCGAGACCTGCATGGGATTGCCTGTCATCTGTTTTTGGTGGACCCAGGGACCCCAGAGGGCCTCTCTGTGGCTGCTGCTCTGTGAGCCCAGCCCTCATCCTTCTGACCCACAGGCCTCTCCTGTCTTCAGGCTTCCAAGGGAGAAGCTAACATGTCACCCGCACACCCCCCACACTTCCGCCCATCATGGAGCCCAGCTCTACCCAGAGCTTTCTCAGGGGGAAGAGGCATGGTGGGAAATGGCTCAGGTCCTGCCTCACTGTACAGAGCACCCAGCTTGCTGAGCCAGCAGCCTGGATGGGCTGCAGCATGGGTGGCCCCTGTGTTTCTGCTGGTCATAGAGGCTGCCACCTGGCTGCAGGGCAGTGCTCCCAAGGAGCGGGCACCATTCTCAGGTCCACACAGGTGCCATGCATGCTGGCTGGGGGCCCATCCTCCTCTCTGTCCCAGCCCCCTTTCTGTCTGTCCTGCTCCTTACCTTCCTTGGAAAAGGGGTCGAAGAGGGCGAGCTCGGCCTCAGAGAGGGGGCCTCGGGCAGGGGAGCTGGATGCCTCTTCCTCACTGCCACAGCTGAAGAGAAGATCCAGTGCCTCCTGGGCGGGACTGGATGGTGGGGGATCCGCTGAGGAGATCAGAGGGACAATGATGCCTGCCCTTCCCAGCTTTCAAAACGAAATCACCCTCTCACTCAGTCTTTGCAGCAACTATGTGTGCATGTTTTTAGACAAGCCCATTATTAGGCTATGTGGCAATTTTTCAGACAAGGAAAGTTACCTGTCAAAAGTCCTCAGCAGGTGCATGGTGAGCTGGAACCCGCCCCAAGCTTTTTCATTGAGATCACTGAGTATGGACACCACCTCCCTCCTGGACCCCAGTGCTGCCTCCCTCCTCCCCCTGACTTACCTGGAACCTCCAACTCTTCCAGACCCCTCCTTTCCATAGGGAGTGGCTGGGGCAGCCGGGGTTCATCTGAGGGTGGTGTGGGGACCAGAGGGGGTGGCAGGATGTGCAAATCCCTTGATAGCTCCAAGGGCCGAGTCACCTCCCCACCCTTCGGGAGAGAAAGACCAGTAGAGAGTCAGGGGAGCAACATAGCGGGCAGGGGGGCTTCCCAGGGCCTAGGGAGGTGGGGAGAGCAGGTGCGTGTACCCGGAAGAACTCTTTGAGTTGGGGGCTGTTGTTGAGCGCAGGAATATGCACGGTGAAGCGAAGCAAGTCCTCGGCACCCTTCCGCCGCTCCTCGATGACAGAGGCTTCAAACCGGCCTGCGTCAGTGCCCGGGCCAAGCAGAGGGAGCCAGGAGAGCAGCAGTGAGCACAGGGCTCCCGGCTGCAAGGCCTGCTTTTCCTGGTGTTGCCTGAGAGGCTCTGAGCAGCCTGCTGGCCTCCTCCTGATTCTGCCACCCACCCTCCCAAGGCTCCTGGAGGATCAATCTCCCTGCTCATCCTTTCTTTTCCCAATGTTTACTGAGTACCTGGTTTTGTGCTGGCTTCAGAAGGTGAATGAGAAACTAGGCCTCTGCTCTCAAGGATTTCATATCACATAGATGGGGGGAAGTAATCAACAAGAATCAAGTCATTTCAGATGGCTTTGAGATAATGAGGAGGAAAGCAAGGCTCAGAGAGGGGAAGTGACTGGCCCAAGGTCACACACAGCAAAAAGCATTTTCGCTGTTTTGTTCTGAATATCATGCAGCGCTACCTACTATGCCTTAGTTATTGTGTTGTGGGGCACAGCCTGCCATACTCTCCACTGGCCTGGCAAAGCCTGCCAGCAATGACTCTTCACCTTGCTGCGAAAGAGCATCTTGTAAGTCTGGGACTCCTGTGATTAACAGATTTATGGTCTAATGGCTTCTCTCCAGAGTGGGTCGGCTACAAAAGCCAGTTTGCCTGCATCTCTCATTTGCTCCCTATCTCCTGCCACGTGATGCCCTGCAACTCCTCGGGACTCAACAGGGCCACCACCAGGTGTAGCCCCTTGACTACACCTTGGACCAGAACCATGAGCCAAAATAAACCTCTTTTCTTTATAACTTTCCCAGCCTGTGGCACTGAGTCATCAGCAACGGAAAATGAACGAGGACACAGGCTAAGGTCTTTTACCTTGCTGAGCCTCCCTTACTGAGCCTCCCTTCCCCCATCTTGAAAACAGGGCTAAGAGAGATGGAAGTGTTAAAGGCCCCCCCACCCACAATAAGAGCTAGTCTGCTCTGAGCCTCAGTTTCCTCATCTGTCACATGAAACCACCTCAGAGGGCCATCTAGTTCTCCAAATGTGTCTTTCCCAGATGTAGGCCTCCTCTCCCGAGCCCCCACCAGCCCCAGTGTTCTTTGCAAAACTCTCCCTCCACCTTGAGCCTGAGAGTTTTGCTCTGACACTCACCGAACACCTGGGCGCGTGGGAAAGGCGGGAACTCCTCCAGGCGGCGGAAGAGGTTGCGGTGGGTGTAGGCCAGGTCTCCATGCAGCTTGCGGAAGTCGCTGTACCGCTTCCACACCACCACCTATGGGGCACATGAGACTTGACCTTGGCCAGCAAGGGTGAGAAGCCATCCGTATCCAGTCTGTCCCAGGGGCTGTGAGGAGCTGGGGCAGCACCCTGTCCTGCCAGGGTCAGGACAAAGTGGGGGTGGGCTCCTCCCAGTCACCAGCTGCTCCCTTACTGCTCCAGACCTGGAACCAAGGACAGCACCCTCCTTCCCAGTAGTCTTACCTCTTTGACGTCCTCTGGGTCTTTCTTTGAGACGAACTGAGAAAGAAAAGCAAGAAGCAGGTGAGACCAGAGATTGACATCTGCCACCCTGCCACCCTGTAAAAGTTAGGCATGCCTCAGAGACCTCGCATTCCCCTCAAAGTGACAGCGCTCTTTGGCATCAAGGTGTCCTGAGTTTAAGGAGTTGAATGTAACTGTGAACAATTTTTCTTCATCTGTCGATTGGAAGGATCCTCAAAGGCCTGTCCAGACTGCTCTATCCTTGGCTCAACTTGTTTTTGGCAATACTGGGATTTGAACTCAGGGCTTTGTGCTTGCTAGGCAGGCGCTCTACCACCTGTCAATTAAGGCGCTTTTTGCCTTAATTGTTTTTCAGCTAGATCTTGGTTTTTGCAGGGGTTGACCTGGATCTCGATTCTCCTATTTAAGCTTCCTGTATAGCTGGGATGGCAGATGCACACCACCATACCTGGCTTTTTATTGTCAAGATGGGGTCTCAAGAACTTTTTTTTTTGCCTGGGCTGGCAAAAAGCCTAGATCCTCCAAATCTCAGCCTCCAGATTAGCTAGAATTACAGATGTGAGCCACCACTCCCAGCCTCAGCTCAGCTTTTATCCTAGTTCCTTCAAAGGTCCAAGTTCTTGCAATTTTTTTTAAGTATTGGGGATTAAACCAGGGCCTTGTACTTGCTCTACCACTGAGCCACATCCCCAGTCTTTTTTGCTTTAGTTTATTTTTTTAGATAGGGTCCCATGCTAACTTTTACCCAGTCTAGCCTCCAGCTCCTGAGTGGCTGGGATTAAAAACACGACCCACGAAAAGAACCTCAAGTCTGTAAAGAAATGAGGTTCTAGCAGGGCATCAGTGGTTCACGCCTGTAATCCTAGCATTTGAGATAAAGTTAGTGGTGGTCCATTTTCAAGGCAAAACAACTAACCCTGCATGGAAAACTACTGTTAACTTGCTTGCGGAGGTAACAAAGCTCCTGCACCTGGGAAATCACAAACAGGATTTTGAGAGGGGTCAACTGACAAGGGAGGGGTAAAATGGGGGGGGGTCAACCATGATGAAATGAGGAAATGGGTAAAAGCTATGTAAGTGGAAATCAGTGTCACAGGGAGGCCTTCCAGCCACAAAGAAACAAAGGAAGGTGGGGACAACTAAAGTCTGCTTCTAAAATTTGACCAATCCAAAAAGAGACATATTTTAAAATAATCCAATAGGAAACAATAAAACGTAGATGACTTCCAGGAAGATTGTACACCCTGTAGTACTCAGCGAATGAGGAACTGGGGGAGGAGCCTGAGCACTAGGGATAAAATACCTGTTGAAACTCCTCTGGGTGTTCCTGCATACCAGACACTCTATCTTGTAAGACCACCATTAAAGTTTGGCTTCTGTTGTGTTTCATGTTTTTGAGTCCATTCTTTGAGTTTGGGCAGGTGAGCATATTTCTCAGACTAGCAATTTGGGAGACAGATTGGGAGATTTGAGGTTGGAGGCCAGCCTGGGCAAACAGTTTGAGAGACCCATCTCCAAAATAACTAGTGCAAAATGAAGTGCAGGTGTAGCTCAAGATGAATCCCTGAGTTCAAACCCCAATCTCATACACACAAAAAAATGTGGTGACATATGCCTGTCATCCCAGCTATGAGAGAGGCCATCAGCAGGAGGATTGTGGTCTGAGGATAGCCCTAGGCAAAAAAGAGACCCTGCCTGGCACTGGTGGCTCAAACCTGTAATCCTAGTGACCCAGGAGGCAGAGATCAGGAGGATCTGTTGGAAGCCAGCTTGAACAAACAGATGAATATCCATCACAAAAAAAGGACTGGTGGGGTGGCTCAGGATGTAGGCCCTGATTTTGAACCCCAGTACCACAAAAAAAAAAAAAAAGAAGAGACCCTATCTGCAAAATAACCAAAAGCAGTAAGGGCTGAAGGTGTGGCCCAAGTGGTATAGCACTTGCCTAGCAAATGCAAGGCCCTGAATTCAAACCCCAGTACTGCAAAAATAAATACATAAATTAAATAAAGTGAAACAAAAATGCATTCAGAAATAAAGTAGACATGTGAAAAAAGCAAGATGCAGAATGCCATCAGGTGTAAACAGTAATGAAGTGGACACATATATTTGCTTGTAAACATAGAGTGTATTTGCAAGGAAAAATAAGAAACCAGTAGCAATGGTTCCTATGAAGAAGAGGTCTGGGGAAGTGAGCAAAATTATTTATAAATTATAAAAATATACCAAACTCGGGCTGGGGGTGTAGCTCAGTGGTATAGCACTTGCCTAACATTTAGGTCCTCAGTTCCAACCCCAACACCAAAAAAAAAAAAGTATATATATATATATATATATATATATATATATATACCATATATATATACTATATATATAATTATTACATATATAAAATTTTTTTTTTCACACACACACACATAATGCATGTGACTTGCTTTGAAACCAACAGGAAGACATATGAGAAAAGGTCTTCCACATCCTTCCTTCCCTCCAGCTCATTTTCCCAGGGACAATCTTATTCTTTGTAATTTTTTTGGCCTGGGAAAGACATTAAAAAAGATGGGAAAGCACAGCCTTTTAAAACATCCACTTTGGAAGCTTTTTTATCTTTATGTTTTGCTTCACTTTAGTATTTACTAATGTACCAGTTTGGCAGTTGCCCAGTTGAAAAATCTTTTTATTTATTTATTGGCAATACTGGGGTTTAAACTCTGGCTTCACACTTACTAGGCAGTTACTCTACCACTGGAGCCAACCAGCTCTTTGTGCTCTGGTTATTTTGGAGATAGGGTCTGGACCATGATCCTCCTATTTTAGGATAGGATGATAGGTGTAAATCACCATGCTCAACTTTTTTCCATTGAGATGAGGTCTCACAAACTTTCTTGCATGAGCTGGCCTAGAACCTCGATCCTCCCAATCTTAGCCTCCTGTGGAGCTGGGATGACAGGTGTGTACCTCCATGTCCAGCTATCAAATGAGATGGAGTCTGGAGAACTATTTACCCAGACTGACCTAGAACCTCAATTCTTCGGATCTCAGCCTCCCAAGTAGCAAGGATTATGTGAGCCTGGGCTAGCGCCCAGTTGAAAATTATTATTATTATTATTATCATTATTATTATTGCGGTACTAGGGTTTGAACTCAGGGTCTACACCTTGAGCCACTACACCAGCCCTTTTTCGTGATGGGTTTTTTTCCAGATAGGGTCTCACCAACTATTTACCCGGGCTGGCTTTTAACCTCGATCCTCCTGATCTCTGCCTCTTGAGTAGCTAGGATTATAGGCGTGAGCAACCAGCGCCCGGCTGCTGAAAATTCTGTAAGAACACAAAATGTACACTAAAAGGTCTTCCCCCAACTGTCCTCAGAGATCTGGTTCCGCTCCCTGGGGCCTCCACTGTTAATCGGTTCTTGAACATCATTCTGATTTTTTAACTATTTTCATGTCTCTATACAATGAGATTATAATGTTATTTCCGCCAACTTCAGTCTTATCTATTGACCTACTGGGGCGACCGTGAAGATGGAGACTTACTCCTAAAGTCCATTTGAACTGTGTGAATTCTTTAAACCACAGACGTGTATTTTTTAATCAAAAATATTTAAAACTCTTTAAAGGGTTTTTACTTAAGTATAAAACAAACCAATGAATAAAGCTCCAAGGGACTGGAGAACTAATACTTGGTCTAAATCAGAGTTTTCATGTTAATGAGATGTTAATGACGCCCAGATGACACGCGTTGGGCTTGGACTCACACACCTGGTCAGTTGGGGGGGGAAAAAAAAAAAAAAATCCTGCCGTCCACGCCCTTTTAAAAAAGACTGAGCCCGCCCTTGGCCCCGCCCCCCAGATAGTGAAATTCGCAAACGAAGGTTCCTCAGACTCCTCTTAAAGGGGAAATCCATTTCTGTCGTCCAAAAAGAGAACTTCATGCACTACCTTGCCTTAAGGTAAAATTAGGACCCTGTCTACTTAAAAGGGTAAGGTCCCCGCTGGTCCCCACCTCACCTGAGCGGTTACTTTGTACTCGGTGTAGCCCTTGGGATGGGTCCTGGGGTCAGAGACTGTGTAGTGCCGCAGGAAGTCATCCTTCGCCTGCCGAGACATGACAGCCAAGCAGGAGCGGAGCTGACAGCCGGCCTCCACTCCCTCCGCGTCGCCCCCACCCCTCGGGTTCGGCCTCTGCCAGCAGCCGCCTCGCCTGGGCCTGCGCGCTTCTCCTTTTGGTCCAGGGAGCTGGTCGCAAGTGACGCCACAGTTTTTGGCCGCGACCTGTGGCCAAGGGAGCGTCTAAAAAGTTCGCTGTCGTTGATAAAGCGTAAACTCAGGTAGCGGGAGAAGTAACTTGGTTTTGGCCCCTCCTCCTCTTTGTGGGCTATTGAGCCCTTCTCTACCTGAGCGTAAACCCACCTCACGGACCTCCCTTCTTCCCTGCTTCCCTTCTTTGATCCATCCGCTCAGCTTTTGAAAAAAAATAATTTTGGGCTGGCTGGGGTCTGGATGTTATCCAGACTGGCCTTGAACTCTTAGGCTCAAGTCTACCTACAGTCACTCACCACCGTGCTCAGCTCATGCAATCCAACTTTTTTGTTTTTCCTTTCGTTTTTTTCTTGCACCCAACTTTTATTGTGTCTAAAATGTGACAGACAGAACCGAATCATTTTCCTGTCTCCCCCAAGGATTTGCTAATTCATCTTGTTTTGAAGAGTTGGGAAAGCAAAAAGAATGCCTGTGAAGTAGGCTGTTAGCGGCCCTAAGTCACAATGCTTACTAGGTGTTTGAATTTCCCTTAACTACCCAAGCCTCAGTTTCTAATCTCTAGAATAGGGTTGCTTATGGTAGAATCCACTCAAGTGGAACCTTTTGGCCGTGGGTTTGGCCTCTAGGTATGTGAAACCTAGCACCATTTCAAAGCCAAAATGGGAAAGGAAGGCATATCAACATCATTGTCACAGAATAACGTATACTGGAGCAATTCTACCACCACCAGCAATCCCATCTACAGTTGTGAGGGGATGGATAAAATAGTCATTGAAAAGTTGGAGGAGGCTGCAGAGATGGGAAAGGAATACTTCATTGTACCCGGGGCTTGGATAACAGAAAGTGAATGGTGAGCCTGGTATCAATGCTGACACGTCTCTGTGAAAATTTGAGTCCAGCAAATATTATCATTGATGCTCCAGGATGCTGAGACTTTATAAAAACCCTGGTTTAGGCACATCTCGTGCTCACTGCTGTCCTGATTGGTGTTGCTGGAGTTGGTGAATTTGAGACTGGGAAGATAAGTGAGGACACACTCCTGGCTTATGCACTGGTTGTGAAGTAACTGACTGTAGTTGTTAACAGAATGAATTCCACTAAGCCGCCCTACAGAGGATCAGGAGGGAATTGGGTAAGGAACTCAATGTTGCTGGGTGTTCCAGATACTCAAGGAGGTGGTTGGGAGGATGGAAGTCTGAGGCCAGTCTGGACAAAAAGTTCTGGCGATCCCATCTCAACAAATAAAAGCTGGGTGTGTGGTGGTTCTTGCCAGTCATCCCAGCTACATGGAAAATAAAAATAGAAGGATCGTGGTCTAGACCAGCCTGGCATAACGAGAGACCCGAGTAAAAAAAAATAACTAAAGCAAAAAGGACCGGGCATGGCTCAAACAGTAGCTTGCCTAGCAACTGCAAGGCCCTGAGTTCAAAACCCAGTATGGCCAAAAAAGAAAAAAACAAAAGAGAAGGTGTCAGCATTAGAATTTGCTACAACTGGGTTAGAATGGTGACAACACAATACTTCATGTCTTAATTCAAGGGATGGAAAGTCACCTGTAAAGTGAAAGTGCTGTATGGTGCTCTGGAACTCCTCCACACATCTACAAGTGGGTGGTCCTTATGCTATTGTCCCTGTGGGCCAAGTGGGGACCAATGTGACAAACCCAGCATGGTGGTCACATTTGCTACGTTACCACTGATGTAAAAATCTATTGAAAGGGCGGAAGGCTTGGCTCAAGAGGTAGAGCAGCTGCCTAGGAAGGGTGAAGTCCTGAGTTCAAATCCTAATACCTTAAAAAAACACCAAATAAGTAACAGAATTTGTTGAAAAGCACCATGAAGTCACCAGGCTTAAATGCCATAGCATGGGTGACTAGTGTGTGGAGTGGCAGCTCTTGTTCCTGGAATTCAGAGGTCTAAGTGCTGAACTACGGGCTCCAGGAAGAAACAAAGACCCCAGAACCAGACTCTTGAGCTCTGAAATGCAGTAGTTCACCGACTGGCCTCCTCCCAAGACCCCGTCAGCAGCATTTATGCTCTCCAAGGTTAAGGATGCCAGCAGTGCTGTGGGTCCCTCCCTCTTCAAGCCCTTTTGCATCTATAGCAGCGTAGGCCCCGGCTTTCTGTAGGTCTCCAGCTGCAGCAGCCATGTCACAGGAGGAGCCACTAGAAGGTAGGGATGCTGCTGTCTGCCCCATGTCCCCTGGGGCTGCTTGACAGGGCTCTCCACTCACAGAAATCTGTGATGAGCTGTTTTCTTCCTGGTCTCTAACCATGAATAACATACCTTCTCCATCAAAGGCGTGGCTTGCTGAGGACCCAGGAGGACTTGACACTGGGGTGACCAGCTGGGATCAGTGGATTCCTGAGTTCCCATTGGCTGAATTTGCTCAGATAATAATCAGAGTTGACCCTTATACACTGCTTATGATACACAAGAAGCCAACCCATCTGGTCCTCATTTCAACCTCAGGCAGCAGCATTAGCCTTCCCTACATGGGGAAACCAAGGGACAGCCAAGTCAGGTGACATGATCAGCACTAGGGAGTGTGTGGGAGAGCCACCCCCCCCCCAATGGAGAAAAGGCTCTATTCTGCTGCCATCCTGTAAAGCCAACGACCTGGGACACAGTGACAGGAGAAGAGTTTTATTAATATCGAGCCAGCTTGGAGGATGGTGGGTCAGACGCCCTTGCCATTTGCCCTAAGCATGAGCCTCAGATGTGGTTTTTGCAAGGAAAGGAATGCAGCTCCCAGACGTGGGCCCAGGGTTGGTTATTAATCTTGCTTTGGTGAAGGTCAGTGACCATGTCGACCATGTAAATCTAAAAGAAAACATAAATGATCAAAACAAGCCTGTCGATCTGTCTGGTTTGGGTTTTGTTATGGCCGATTCCTGCTCCATGCAAGAGGAACACCAACACTCCAGCGTGACTGTGTATGCCTGGAATCCCAGCACTGGGGAAGCTAAGGCAGGAGGAAGGAAGTTTGAGGACAGCCTGGGCTACATAGTGAGACCCTATTTTCAAAAGCCAAAAAACAAAACAAAAAAAGGAAAAGAAAGCAAAACTTAGTCTTGGGAGACATTTAACTCAAGTTTCTTGGAATGTTCTTCTTTCACCCCTTAGGCAGCCTCACTCAGTCTGTCCTGTAAGGACAGGGTGGGGGTATAGCTTGTTCACACATCTGGTTCCTTCTTCCCCTAGCTGAACTTAAGTCTTGCCCCCTCAGGGAAGGGTCCAAGGGTGGCTGGGAAGTGGGGTGGTTCGCCTGGCAGGGGTGAGGCTGGGCATGGAGGGAAGGGGTCCTATGTGTTCTGCTTTTGCTAACAGCATCCAATTTCCCCTCGGGAAACTGCCCTTCTGCCCTAGGACAGCCCAGCAGGCCTGCAGCAAGCCCTCACCAAGAGGAAAGCAGGGTTCAGGCTGGGCTGGGCAGGCTTCTGACCCTGGCATTTGGAGTGCAGATGACAACTGAAGATGGTTAGGTCCATGTTTTCACAGGAGGCAGCAGGATGGAATGTGCTGGGTTCAAATCCCAGCTCCCTGCTTCCTGGCTGGGAGGGTTGGTGAGGCTCATTTAGCCTCCTGAGAGCTCTGCTGGAATGGATGGGGATGCTGGACAGGGATGCTAAGCATACATTGAGCAGTGCTGTCCTTACCTGCACTGGGCCCCAGGAGTGCGTGCAACAGAACCCTGACCTGCACAGCTAGCAGTCACTAAGGCCCGAAGACACCTGTCAGTCTGACTGCCCGACTGAGGTCCTAGGTGGCCCTGCTTCAGTGCTCTGTAGCCTTCAGGGAAGGCCCCATGTAGCCACCCTCCTCCATCTCCCTGCATGCCCCTCTCCATTTCCCAAGAGCCCTGGCATTTCATTTTTCTGTTGTATGACACTGCCTGAGTCACGGTCTCCTACAGCTGTGCAGGTTGTCCACCGCACAAGGGGTCCCAGCTGCAGTGGCGAATTGGGGGTTGAATTTCAGCCCATGTTCCATTTGATGATCTATGGCCCTGGTCTGGGGCCATGTCCCTTTTTCTAACTCACACCTTTGAGGGCAACAATTACTCTGGTGAACTGGCTCTCCTTCTTCTACCCAGAACCCTTATTTCTACTCATTTCATTTCCAGCTTTGTTGTCACCTCCTTTGGGAAGCCCACCTGGACTCCTGCAGATGGAATCATCTATAGCCCTGTGCTGGGCTGAACTCTCTGCTCCTGTCTGTGCCCTGCTGGATTCTGGGCCAGGTGGGTTCTAAAGGTGGTGACAAATGGCTCAGCCAGGAACCGGGCAAGGAGTGCTTTATTCTCACCACTGAGCAGAGGATGCAGCCCTGGGCCTCAGTAGCAGCAGGCAGCCCCTCTGGGCCCAGCTCTGTCCTCTTGGCACAGCTGGGAGCCAGGGTGAAGGCTGGGACAGCCCTCTGCCCGGGAAAGCAGCAGGGGGCAGTGGTAGCAGCAGCAGGTCATAGTGGGTGGGGGCGGGGGAGGAGTGTTAGTCTGGCTAGCTGACAGGTCTGGGGGCCTGGCCTGTGAGCTGGGGGACATCGCAGTGGTTCAATCGATGGTGAAGATGCGACTGGAAATGTCGTCCAGGAGCCAGTCGATGCCGGGCAGCAGGTCCTCCCCCGTGAAGGCGCTGCAGCCCTGGATGCGCCAGTGGTGTGTGCGGATGGAGGCCAGGTCCAGTGCCTGGGGGACAGAAAGCGCTGGTGGGGCTGGTGACCACAGCCCTGGCCCTGGAGAGGGTATATCACCCCGGGGCACCTGGGCTGTCTGTAGCTCTGTGCCAGCAGCACCCCTCAGTGATATAAAAGCAGCATGGGAAGCCAGGTGCTGGAGTCTCACACCTTAATCTCAGCTACCCAGGAGGTAGAGAGCAGAAGTATCTCAGTTCAAAGCCAGCCCAGGCAAACAGTTTACGGGCAAATAGTTCACAAGACCCTGTCTTGGAAAAACTCTCCACAAAAAAGGGCTGGTGGAGTGGCTCCAGGTGTAGATCCTGAGTTCCTACCCCAGTACCGCAAAAAAAAAAAAAAAAAAAGCAGCATGGACCCAGGCACTGAGTGGGGACCCCACCTAAGTCATCTCATCTGCTCCTCCCAAGGCCCCGTGAATCAAAGACTGTGTTGGCCATTTACCAAGGAGGAAACCAAAGCTCAGAGAGGTTAAGCAACCTGCCACAGCCAGTAAGTGGCAGAACCAAGAGTCTAACCCTGCTGTTTCTCATTTTGCTATCTGAGGAAGAGAATAACAGTTAAGGTGCAGGCTCCAGGGCCAGATAGGCCTGGGTTTAAATCCTGGCTTCTCTAGCTATTGGCTGGCTGTATGGTGTGGGCAAGTTATCTAAGTTCTCTGAGCCTGCTGCATTGTCTGTACAATGATGGTAGTTCCCACTTCATGTGGTTGACAGAATGAAATGAGTTAGTCTGTGCAAAGAGCTGCACAGTGGGAAGCACTCGCTGCACACTGGCCCTGTGTCCCGTGGAAAATTCTACTGCAGCTCTCCTGTCCCCAAACTGTGGCTCACCACTACCCCTCATTAATTACTGGCTGTCTGGTGCCCCGCATGGGTCCTGCCACACAGCAGGGGTTAATAAATGCTATTAAAATAATTAACAAACATTGCCCTGGGCCCGGACTCACCTCCTGAATGGCACTGGAGGACAGAGCTCCAGGCAGGTCCTGCTTGTTGGCAAAGATGAGGAGGGTTGCTCCAGCCAGGCGCTAGGAGAGAGAAGGTGGAAGGTGGGGCTCAAAAGATAGCTTGACCCTCCCCTGCTGACCCGAAGCATCTGGGGTCCAAAGATCAGCTTGTAGGATCAGGGCAAGGCCTGTGGTGGGAGAGGCCCAGGTGGGACAGGGCACAGGGGACAGAGCCACAGAGGCCTGCCCATCTGAGCTAGGTCTGATTTCAGGTTCCAGCCAGCCACCACCAGTGGGCACCTCTCTCCTCCCTGCTTCCATTTTCTCTTCCATAATCAGGGAAAGAGTGCTGGACAAGATGGTCCCCGAGCCCTCTGCGTGCACAGGGAACGTGAGTGTCCTAGAAGCCTGTCCCGGGGTCTGCTGGGAATGCCGCCCTTCCCTCTTCCAAGTTTACAGAGCCCTTTAATTGTTCACTCCAGGCAGGCTTCACTGTCTGCCTGATTATTCCCACACGTGTGTTTGCAACTAGGATCCCACCATGTGGGTACATGGATCTGACCCTTGGGGCCTCCACACCAGGCCTGGACTCAGCATGACACCCCTGGCAGGGGCTGCTATTATACCAGGTGACACTTGTCCCTGTGTGCCTAGGACAGTCCCATTTAGCCTATGGTCCCTGCATAGTTATTCACAGCACTCAAAAATGTCATGGTTTTCAACTAAATGCAATATTGTAACGTGAACCAAATCCCAGGACAAAGCACATTAGTGAAAAAAAACAGTAAAATCCAAATAAAACTTAAGAATTAAGATAGAAGTAATTCCCCAATGTTAATTTCTTAGGCTGAGGCAGAAGGATTGAGAGTTCAAGGCCAGCCTGGGCTATATAGTAAGACCTTATTTCCAAAAACAAAACAAAACAAAAAATAAAGAGTGTTTTGGCCCAGACAATAAATTGAGATCAGGGCTGCAGGAGTGGCTTAGCAAGCATGAGGCCCTATGTTCAAAAAAAAAAGAGCGAGACCAACCTAATTAATAAGAGAAACCAACCTAATTAATAATCCCCATAATAGGGATGTGGAATGGAGACTCAGAGAGGTTAAGTGCCTTCCTGAGGTCACACAGCAGTCATACCCCAGAGCCAGGTTCCATTGCCTCCCAGAGCTTTGAATACTGGCCTTAGCTCCCTAACGCCAGTGGTCTGTTATTATTTCCATTTCAAGCTGTGCAAACTGAAGCTCAGGATGGCAGAGCAGTGAAACCCAAGGACATGAACACAGGTGCCATTCCATGCCATGTTTTCTGCCTGTGGCACTGTGGCCCAGTGAAGGAACGGACACTGCTCTAGGTGCCCTTGGGTGGGCATCACCCACACATGCGCCAGGTGTCAGGCCCAGCCCCCCACGAGCTCAGCGTACCTCCTCCACCAGCAGGCTCTGGAGTTCCCGTCTGCAGTCCTGCATGCGCTGGCGGTCTGCGCTGTCCACCACCCAGATGAGGCCGTCGGTGCTCTCAAAGTAGTTCCGCCAATAGGAGCGCAGGGACTTCTGGCCGCCCACGTCCCAGATATTCAGCTTGAATCTGGGGGTGTGTGGGAGGCAGTTAAGAGTCAGCTGCCCCATGCCCACTTCTCCACCCCAGGCCAGGCCACTCAGAGACCCCCTCACCCTCGGTGTTCCAGGGTCTTGATGTTGAAGCCCAGCGTCGGAGAGATGGTGTCTACGTCTTCCCCATTGAACTTTTTGAGGATGGTTGTTTTGCCAGCATTGTCCAGGCCACTGGGGAGCCGGGTTAAGGAGTCCCTGTGCTGTGCTGGTGGTGACTACAGGACGCCTCTCTTAAGGGTAATAATTGCCCACCATGTATTAAAATGAGTTGAGCACATGCTAGGCACATAAAGGCCCCTGATAAACATGGAAAGATCAAAATAATGATTTTATCATCTCTGACAAAGCAACTTAATTCATGAGTGCATACTGGCTGAACATCTACAATGTACCAGCCCTCTTTGGATGCTAAAGGACACAGTTCTTGCCCTTACCAAGCTTATGCTTTTTTGTTTGGGTGTTTTGTTTTTATGGTGAGACTGATAAAGTGCAAACATAAGAAAACATGGTATTGCCAATCATGGAGACAGGGACAAACGCAGGGCAAGGTTCCTAGAGTTGCATCTGTGCAAGGAGGGGCTTTCAGCTCAGGCAGCAGGAAAGGCTCACCAGGTGTCTTGAGCTGAGGCCTAAAACACAAGGACCCTGCTTTTTTTTTTTTTTTTTTTTGTGGTACTGGGCCTCACACTTGCTAGTCAGGTGCTCTACCACTTGAGTCACTCAACCAGCTCTTTTTTTGTGATGGTTTTTTTCAAGATAGGGTCTCGAGAACTATTTGCCCGAGGTTGGCATCAAACTGCAAACCTCCTAATCTTTGCTTCTTGAGTAGCTAGGATAACAGGTGTGAGCCATTAGTGCCCAGTGTGCTTTTTAAAGGGAAGAGCAAATATCTGGAATTGGCAGCCACTTTCATGCTTCTGTAATGTTCCACACCCTCTGCTGCAGAAAGCAAACCAGTGAGTGAGCGCACCAGTGGGTAAGAAACACCTCTTCTTCCAACACTTAGGGGGCCTGCAGCTTTGCGGAGGGGAGAGGGGCAGGTCCTGCATGTAGTAAGTAGCTTTTTCTGATCACCTGAGATGGAGCAAAGGGAGTACCACTCCTGAGGTCCAAGCCTTAGACCTTGAACACTGGCTGCCACTTATCCTTGCCCCCCTAACACCATCCAACCATGCGGCCTTCTCTCCTGGGTGATCCCCACCAGCTGACAAACTGGTATCCCTCACATGCAGCAACAAACCCTGTCCTGGACCTTCTCCCCCGTCCAAGGATTCATTGCACCTCCTCACAACACTTGTTCACACTCAGTCAAGTCAAAGTTTGTCTTCCTGCTCTTCCTTTGTGGTACTGGGGTTTGAACTCAGGGCCTACACCTTGAGCCACTCCACCAGCCCTTTTTGTGTTGGGTATTTTTGAGATAGGGTGTCCAGAAATATTTGCTCAGGCTGACTTCAAACCACGAGCCTCGTGAACTCTGTTTCCTGAGTAGCTAGGATTACAGCGTGAGTCACTGGTGTCCGGCTCCTTTTCACCTTTTTAGGAGTGCCAGGATCAAACCCAGGGCCTTGCTCCTGCTCTTTCATAAACACTCCCATCAGGCCATAGCTCCTGCTGCTTCCCAAGCCTGCTTTTGCCACGGTGAGTCCCTAAAGACCTCCCTCCTACTCTTCAGTGGCCAGGTGACCTTCAGAACTCATCTTCTGCTCCCCCACAGCACCTGCCACACCCTCATCTGGCACTGTTCCTCAACCGATGTGTTTGAACACCTGGGTCTCTTTGCCCATACCACACCTGAAGTTGAGTCCCCCAGGATTGTGGCTTCAACTACCATCTCTGTGGTGGCTGTTGGCTCCCATCCACCCACACCTCAGGATATTGGTCCCTATATCCAACAACCTACATGACATTCCAAGGCAAGGATGTCTTGCAGACACCACACATGCCAAACAGCGCTTAGGGTTGGCATCTTCCCAGGAACCTGCTCCTCCCCATTTCAGCAAGTGGTTCCTGTCCTTCTGATTGCCTTGGCCAGAAACCCAGGTGTCAGGCTTGGTTTCACTCCCTTTATCACCCTCACATTCAATCTTACAGCAATTCCTGATGGCCTACTGTCACAATGTCCCCGTTTCCATGACCTCACTATTTCCATCCTGGTCCACGCCACCAGCCTGTCTCACCTGTTTTAGTACACCAGCCTAACAAGTCTCAACTAAGGGCTGCTCCTCTGCACTTCTCACAGAAAGGGAAAGCCAAGAATTAGAAGTCCTCCTGAGGTGGCTCTGGTCACTAGGGTCACCTCTAACCCCTCTCTACAGCTACACTTCCCTCTTCAACATCCAGTTGCTGTTCTTCCTTCAGGACCTTTGCATCTGCTGCTGTTCCTTTGAAGGTTCCCCCAGACATCTACTGATTCACCCCTCACTTCAATCTCTATCCAAATTTTTTTTTTTTTTTGCAGCACTGGGGGTTTGAACTCAGGGCTTCATGCTTGCTAGGCAGGCACTCTTGAGCTGCCTAGACCCTTTTGTGATGTTTTTTGAGACTTAAGAACTATTTGCCTGGGGCTGGCTTGGAGCTGCCATCCTTCTGATCTCTTGACTCTTGAATAGCTAGGATTACAGACGTGAGCCACAGGAGCCTGATCAAATGTCACTTTCTTAGTGTGACCTTCTTTGACCACCCTAAACTGTGTTCTTCTGCATCTATACTACTTATTCTACTTATTTGCTTTATCATTTTTCTTTTCCCTTGTATTGCAGACTTTCCATGAAGGCAGAGTATTATTTTGTTGTTTTACTCCAGCCTATAGGGCAGTGGCTAGTACATAGTGGACGCTCAATATTTATCAAGCGAATTATCTGTGCTTTTCTCAGAGCTCTTTAAAACGGACCCCTGGGGGTTGAGGATTTATCTCAGTGGAAGAGCGCTTGCCTGGCAAGTGCAAGGCCCTGAGTTCGGTCCCCAGCACCAAAACAAACAAAAAAAACGGACCCCTGGGTCTTATTTTTAAGGCATAATTGTCATCTCTCCGCTGTCAGGTGGTTGAGGCTGCCCCACCCGCCCAGGCACAAACAGGACGTAGAGTGCCGGCGCCAGGCTAAGGCGCTGGAAGGTTCGCGGGACCCTACGGCCCACAAGCCTCCAGACACACGGACACGACGGGGCGGGGCAACGGACAGACAGATGGACGCGCAGCTGGCGAGTCCACACCCAGCAGCTGGGGACCCAGGTGGCGCCCACACGCCCCCGGGATTCCGACCTCCAGGGCGGGGCCGGGACCCGGCACCCTCAGACAGGGGGAGGAGATCAGAGCTGGGAGGACAGGGACCCACACTCGGGCCAGACCGACGGATGGTGATGTCCGACTGGCTTCTGAACCCCGCCATCCCTTTACAATGGGGACACCATGACCTGCGCAACGCCTCTAGGTTCACATATTTTACGTTTGGAGGGAGTGTCCTCCCCCCCCCCTCCCGGCCGCCGTTTCTTCTAGTCCCGGGACCCCGCTCCCTGTTCCTATTGGCTATCACGCCCACCAACAGTACCTTCTATTGGCCGATCCCTCGCTTGGTCCCGCCTTCGCTGCCACGTGACCCAGAAGTCGCCCCGCGGAGCTGCAACAATGGTCCCTTTAGCGGTCCGCGGCTTTTCCGCGGCCTACTGCGTTAACCTTTCGCTTTCCGAGGACTGAGGCTTGGGGGGACGATGGCAAAATCCTCTTTCCTTCCTTCCTAGGTCCCAAAGACCCTGCAGGAAATGGCAACCTGAAATTTCTGAGTCATATCTTGGCTGGATGGGTTGTACCTGCAAAGGGAATCTGACCCAGGATTCAGAGCCGAGATCCCCAAGCGAATATATGGCCCTGTTCCCGGAAACAGCCAAATCCTGCACATCTCGGGCCTCGGCATCACCCTAAATGATACCTTTCCCTGTAGGAGGTCGATAATGCCCCCTAGGGGCCGTTCCGAAGTATGCGGGGGCGTCTTAGGGTTGTTCCAATGACAGGATAGTCACTGACCTTTGGAGGACTAAGTGCTCTGTAACGCAGATGAACAGACCCAAACTGACCCGTCCAAGATGCCATGTTCATATTGAGAGGCATAATTCCAACCCATGTGGAGGAGGAAACTGAGGCCCAGTGGTGCTTAGCAGTGGCCGGCATATAGTAAGTGCGCAATAAATATTTGTTGTTTAATGGAATTACTCTGCCCAAGAGTTTCATTCTTTTTTTTTTTTTTCTTTTTTGGAAGAATTGGGGTTTGAACTCAGGGCTTTGCGCTTGTGAAGCAGGTGCTCTACTACTTGAGCCACATCTCCAGTCCATTTTGTTCTGGTTATTTTGGAGATGGGGGTATCCCGAACTCTTCCTGGGCTGGCCTCCAACCAGGATCCTCCTGATCTCAGCCTCCCAAGGGCTAGGTTTACAGGCATGGGCCACCAGCGCCTGACTTTCTCTACTACAGTGCCCAAATCCAGAGAGAGTGAGGAAAGTGAGACCAGAGACCATCAGACTGTAAAACTCAAAAGAGAGCCTGGTCGTATTGTTAACTGCTTGCCCTAGCTCCCTACAGGTTGAGTAGTGAGCACAGAGTAACCTTTTTCTAAAGCTTGGGGCAGCGGCAACTAGAGGAAACAGCCAACTCCTGTGTAGCTGTTACGTCCTGGTGTGGAGGGTCCTTGTCTTCACAGGCTAGAGAACTGGCTCATGAGGCAGCTGAATGACTTGTGAGCCAAAGCCTGTATACCAAGTAGGATTTATTAGAGAGAAAGGAACGGCTACAGCTAGAGCATGCAGCAGAGCCCAGAAACTGGTAGCTTGCTGCTCAGGTGAAGGCTGGGGCTTTTATGGATCCTTTAACTCTGGGTTTGGGTAAGGGTTAGGTGGGCTCTTTTCTTTGGCCATGGATTCAAGGGCTTTCTTAGATGACCTGGTCAGTTTGCTCCTTATTGGGGGAGGGGAAACAATCTTGAGAGCATTTTGCTCATCAGCCCTGTGGCAGATCTGTATCTCTCCTTTAGGATGCAGGATTGCAGGCCTCCATCTCCTCAGGATGCAGGAATCATAGTGCTCTCCTTGGGGGATGGGATACTCACTCATCTGCAGACCCAACATAGCCATTTACATCCCACTCAGTTTTACTTCATCATCCTCCTACCTTGAGAGATCCTTTGCTTTTTGTAGATATGCTGATGGAGTCCAGAGAGTTTAAGGAGCTTGGGCAAGATTTGAACTCAGGTCTGGTTGGCAGTAAAGAGCACTGCCTTTCCAGGTGCTACTGTGGAGTT